TTCATGGCTAATACGTGCTCTGTTTAGCCACGTACTGCAGTCTCCTTATCTGCTCGCCAGCCACTGGGCAGGGAGGTTGCTCATGGAGCCCGCCGTCGTGGTTCAGGGCTGTTGCAAGAACAATGCGATAAGACTGGGCCTGGTGCGCGCCTGCAATCCCAGGGCTTGGGAGGCTGAAGACAGGAGGGTCACTACTAGACTGATCTGAGTAGTGAGACCCTGCAGACCCCGTGCTAAATACATAAAAAAGAACAACATAATACAGGACGCATTTTATAATAGTATTTTATAATGAGTCACCCAAGAACCACATTCAGGAAGTGCAGGAAATCTGTCCACACACATAAACACTCAAGACTCCAGTTGAGAGCCTAAATCCTAATATGCTGTACGGGTCCAGCTGAAAACCTAGAGCTCATAACAGTGCCTCCCACAGGTCCAACTGGAGGCCTAGAGCCCACGACAAAGTCTCATGCAGGCCTGCTTCACAGATCTGTGTGGAAAGGCCCCAAGGTCAGTGGTGGAAGCTGGGAAGTCTGTGCCAGTGGGATGAAGGATCTGTGCCAGCAGGCTGAGGGGTCCGCACTGGAGCCAGGAAGCGATGCTCATGGTAAACACCAGAGCGCCCCCAAAGGTACCATGGGATCCTCAGCAGCAGGGAGGTCGCGAGCTCCTCCAGCAATGAGGAAAGCCGAGTTCCCATCAGGAAAGCCAGTGCAACAAGCTTCTCCATGAGGCCGAGCGGGCACCATCTTCCCCTCCAGAACCAGGAGGCGATGCTCAGGATGTGGACCCGAGCTTCTCTTAAGTTCATGGGGAAAGCCAGCATGACAGGGTCCTCCAGCAGAACAGCCCAAGAGAACCAGCAGCTTCCCACAGCCCCAAGCGCTTCTCCGACAGCATCCCTAGCGGTGTTCCGGCAGCTTCTCCTGCTCTGCCTTTATGCTGCTGGCAACAGCCCTCAGGGGGCCTCCCGCGCCCACCCAGCCCCACGCTAGCTTCATTCAGCTGGGTGGAAGAGGTTGGCCACCTGGTAGAAAGTCACTAAAACAGCTGCTGAGAACCATGCTGCAGTAAGAACAGGAGGAATACAGGCGCACCTATGGGGTGGTGCATTCGCATGTGGCACTGAGAAGGGACATGACTACCAGGCCCAAAGCACAGTGGAATGGTGGCAATAGTGTCTCAATTCCAGGAGAGGTTGAGAGATGTAAGGCACTTCCTATAAAAGTAAAACTAAGTCTAAGAAACTTTGAAGTGAAGGTGTGTTTGGGAACAGAGTATTAAGTGTGGGTATACACAGAGAAGTGAGGGAAATCTCTTCTTTGGAACAGAGGGTAGGTTTGACCATGTTCTCTAATGATAAAGTTTCAGAGCAAGAGTGTGCTTGGAGATAATTTGCAATCACAGTTCATAAGTTTTTTAAATGTCTTACTCTTGTTTGAAAAACAAAGCCAAAAAACCCTCAGTTATCAGAAATTATCCAATTTTTTTATTATTATTGGATATAGGGTCTCTATGCAATTCAGACTTAAAGTGTTCTTATCTCAGCCTCCCCAGTGCTGGGATTACAGGTGTGCTCCATCACCCCGACTTTTAGGGCCGGCATGGTATACCTGAGGTTCCAGGACCAGCATGGCAAGAGGTACTGGGGATCGAACTCCAGTCCTTATGCTTACTAGGCAGGTGCTTAGACCACTGAGCTATCTCCCCAGCCATTAGCCAGTTTTTAATGGACAATGGATTTGAACAGAGACTTCTAAAAGAATATATGCAAGTAGCCAACCGTCACATGAAATAATATCCTACATTGTCCTTAAAGAAATGCAAGGGGGCCGGGGATCTCCTGGCAAGTGCAAGGTCCTAAGTTTGATTCCCAGTATCAAGAAAGAAAGATAGAAAAAAAGAAAGACATTAATTCAAACAAAAACCATAGTGAAACACCATATATTAACTCACCATAATGATTAAAAATCAAGATGATGAACTGGAACTCCTAAGTGTTACTCTGGGCACTGTCAAATGGAATGCCCACTGTGGAGAACAGCGTGGCAGTCTCAAGCATTAACTATTTACAGTACTTACCATATCACCCAGCGATGCCAACTCTGCCCAAGAAAAATCAAAATGTCCACACAGAGATTCGCCCACAAATACCCCAGCAGCACTGTTCGCAGAGTCAAGAACCACAAGTAAAGCCCAGATGCCTCTCCGCCAGTGAGTGATAAGCAGTGTGGCCTGCTCATGCAGTGGAACAGAGCTCAGCAACCACAAAAGAGAGGTCGGGGCGCAGTCAGAGGCAGAACACTCGCCCACGTGCACAAGGCCCACGGTCCACGCTAGTGCTCCCGTGATCAACACTGTAAGCAGCAAACTGGCAATGACATGACAAAACGGACAGATACACACGCACTGGGCTAAGGGGGATGAGGGAGACACAAAGATGACGTGGTTCTGTGGCTGTGAGACGCCTAGAAAGCGCAGACTACAGCGACATACTGATGTCTTGCAGATGGGCGTGGGCACGACTGGGCTCCGAGGATGGCAGGGCCAGCTGCAGGGACAGTGTGTCACCCTGACAGGCTGGTGGCTGTGTGACTGTAGCAGAGGGCGAGCTTCATGGCATATCTAACAGGCCCCAACAAGTTGTGCCAAATGATGCTACCAGTAGCTGGAGGAGGCCTGGTCCCGTGGGAAAACAGATGGGCTTGGCCCATGCAGCCCACACATGTGCAGCCCACGAGCCGTGGGCCAGGACTCACTGCTGGCCAGGAACTCGGGCTGCCCGGACCCGGGACGCTTCTGAGACCAGACCTGACAGTTTTCCAGGCAGGTAAACATCAGATGGGTACACAACAGCTCTGACCTCATCATCTTCCCCAAGAGCCAAGTCAGGAAGCGACAACAGGCAGGCGACCCTCAGAGCACAGCCCGGGTGCCAGGGCTCCTGCCGGCCTGCAGGGACCTCACTTCATCTGGTTCAGCTGTTGCTGTTGCTGCCCAAGGCGTAACTTGGAACTGCTAGGATTTTAATTGCTTCGTCCTCATAGGGCTTTGCTGTTGGTTGGTTGAAGTGCAATTTCAGAAAGCTGTTCCTAAATAGAATCTTCAACACACAGCTGGTCGGCTGTGTCCACAGGTTCTACATCTGGAAACTCAACCAACTGAGAATCAGAAATATTTGAGAGAAAAAGTGCATCAGTACTAAAGTGCACAGGCTCCCTTTCTCGTGATTCACGAAGCAGTGCGGTCTAATGTGTGTCTGAAGGCAGCTCCCACGGTGCCGGTGTGAGAAGCACCGGGAGATGATTCAGGGCTCCTGGGTGGCTCGGGGGTCCTTGGACATTCCATGCTGCTATATGCCAGTGCTTGAGCATGCTGGGTTTGGGGGCCGCCAGTGTTCTGGAGCCAGCACCCTGGTGCTGAGCGACAACAGCGCTGAGTGAGATTTGGGGATGGGCAGACATTGTAAATAACAAACTCAGGGTGTGTCTGGTAATGATAGATCCCACACAGACTTTCAAATTGCTCTCCATCAGCTTCCCCAAAACAGAAATGATAGAGCTATTAGATGTTCTGTTTCCCAGGGAGGAAAAGTTAGTTGTGTTCTCAAGAAACCAGGTCTAACGTGAGGTTTAGAAATTCGACTTAAGCAGCTACTGTCCTGAGACGGCCCCTTTGTGTGAGCCACAGCACAGCAGTGGACACTGCCGCTCTGTCCCATGAAATCTCATTCCACGCACTGTGTCCAGCCTGTTCCCAGCGGGACCAAGCGTGACTGCAGAGCAGTAGCTCAGGGCCTGCAGGAGAAGAAAGAGTAACAGAGAACCAGCAGAGGCCACCAGGCTACGGAAGGGCAACGTGGCATGGAGTTCATCAGGCCTGGTGCGGCAGTCAGTAAGCCCTTCTGCCCCAGCAAAGAGAAATGTGTCCCCTTCATAGGGACAGAGAGAAGGCAGGGACACCAGGCGGGAAGACCCTGGTGCGCGCCTGGGGTCAAAGCTTTCTGGCAATCTCCATCTAGAGGTCTGAGTCCTTGAAGCCTCGAGATGTGAATCTTGGGCGCCTGCAGACACCCCAGGACCTGCAGAGTCCCTGTCCTGTCTCATCCCCTTTCCTGTGCTTGGTGGTGAGTCCCTGGGGTGCTGAGCCAGTTCCCTGCAGACAGTGGTGCTTCTGCTGGCAGGAGGTGGGACCAGGGGAGTCAGGCCAGTTGTACACTTAGGGAGAGGTCCCAGGCGGGGAAGGCAGGGTGCGCAGTCAGCCTCTCACACACGGGCAGGGCTCCTCCTGCAGCTTGGCTCCGCCTCTGAGTGCAGGCGCCAGCCCCCAGCTTGGTGCCAGGCCCTGGACTGAGAGGCCGCGCCCAGCGTCACACCTCGCGTTCATGTGGTCAACCCCGTGCCGTACATGAGAGCTGGGGAGACAGCCTGGCGGCCTGCGCACCTGCTAGGCAAGCACAAGGCCCGAGTTTGCCGGCCCATACCACGTGCCATGCCAGCCTGGATCTGTATCAAATCAATAAATAATGACAATGAAGGAGACAGTAGGGCTTGCGGTGCGGAGCGCAGGCGCAATGTGAGCTCCTGGCTGTCGGGGGAGCCCCACACCACAGGTAACCCTTCACACGTGGTGATTTAAATTCTATCCCCAAACCCACGTTGATAGCACTAAAAGTTTCACTTGGAGGACGCGTCCTGCGCCCGTGCTCTGGGCCGGGTGCTGCTCCACCGGCAGGGCTGTGTGCACCAGGGGCTTGCGCGACTCACGCCTTTCGGGGGAGGGCGGGGAGTCTGGGGGGAGGTTGGGGGCTGCGGGAAGGAGCCGTGGGAACACGGGGGCAGGCAGCCGCCCTCACTCCTGAGCAGCCGGACGGGCGCGGGACGCGGGACGCCGCCTTCCGGGAACCGCCTGCGCCATGCGCGCTGCCGGGCTCCTCCTGCCTTGACCTCCGCGCCGCCGGGGGCACCGTGGGCTCACCTGTGTCCCTTCCCGTGCAGGAGTTCTTTGACCACGTGAAGAAGCTGTGGGACGACGAGGGCGTGAAGGCGTGCTTCGAGAGGTCCAACGAGTACCAGCTCATCGACTGCGCGCAGTAGTGAGTGTGCGCCCGCGAGGGCGCGGGCCGGGGCGGGCGGGCGCGGCCTGGGGGGGCCTCTGCGCCCCTGGAAGCCACGGCACGCAGGTTACCGCAAAAGCAGCTCTCTAAACGCAGTCGTCCAGGAGACCGAAATGGGAGAAACCAGTGTTTCCCGGAAGAACCTGAACAGTCCGCTGGGTTTGCCCGAGAGTCGTTTTCAAGCCTGGGCGCTCTTTCCCATACATCTGCTTAAGAGCCAAAGGACCATTTTAAGTATTTCTCATTATATTTTAATTTTGGAGCAAGGATCCCCAAATTAATTTTCTTCAGCCCAGGGGATGAAACCCAGAGCCTTCACCTAAGCTACCTCCCCAGCCTTTTTAGCTTAGTTTTGTTTCAAGACAAGGTCTCAGGAAGTGGCCAAGTTGTCCAGCCTGGACTTGAACTTGTGACCCTCCTGCCTCAGCCTCCACATTGCTGGGACAGTTCTTTTCAAGTGCCAGTGTTCTGATGAAATCCATGCTCTTACTGAAAGTTACGTGCTCATCTCATACTCACCAGAGTATGGAAAGAAATTTCATCAATAGATATTTGAGAGCAAGCAATGACTGTAATGAAAAAGAGTAAGAGATGGGCGCTGGGCTGGGGCTGGCTTATTATTTTCCCTGAGACACTGGTAATCCTATTTTCTTTCGCTATCTTGATACATTCCATGACTGTTGGACAATAACATCCCCAGAGAAATGTAAAACATTGAAAGTTCCAGAGGCGATTGCTACTCAGCTAACCAAAGCCACGTGTAACAAGCAGTTCTGTGTAACTCAGGCCAGCGAAGGCTGTCACACCTGACAGTCTGGGGGCTCTGAGAGCTGGTGCTTGCTAGGAATCTGTGAGCTCGGCCAGGCACTGACAGGACTCATACCTGGGCCCTGGAGAGACAGTGACGCCATCTCAGGGAAGGGCTTGGGGGCCAGCGATGCTTCCTCCATGACGGGCACCGCAGTGCGCAGGGAAGCAGGGGCCAGAGGTGTGGGGAGAACCAGACAGAGGACAGGGACAGGCAGTGGCCCCCGCTGGTGACCTGAGCAGGAGGGCTGCAGCAGTTGCCACTCACAGAGCCTGGGCAGCTGGGAAGTGTGTGCTCCTGGAGGCGGCCAAAGATGTGCCTGCATGTTGAGGGACGGTGGCCGCATGGCACAGGCCTTGCCTCTGTGAGGGGTCCACACTGCCACCCTAGGTGGCACCTGGAGAGGAGGGCACTCTGGGGCCTGGAAGCCTGGGCCAGGAGGTGGCACCTGTGGGTCTCCAGGGTCCCCAGAAGGAAGAAGAGGGGGATGCACCCCCAGACCTCCCCCTAAACCCTCCCAGCACCACTGCTCTGGGATGGGGCCAGCAGGGCACAGAGGGCACGAGAGACAGCCACACACAGCCCTGGGGTGGGAGGGCATGACCTGACTCGTGTCCCTTCCAAGACACGCACCACGGCTCTGTCCTGTGCTTGGCTGGAGTTGAGGGAGTAAGGACTGGACAAGCAGCTTTGGTGAAATTTGTCCTAAGCTTCAGGGCCTTGAAAAGCCACTGCCTCTTGGCACAGAAGGTGGCCTGACACGCCAGCAGCAGGGACGGGTGAGTGCTGGGACCGCTGTCCTGAGCATCCCCTAGGGCCTTCCAGGACCCTCTCCAGTGTCCTCACTCACTGGGGAGCAAGGCAAATGCAGCCTCCTAAGCTCCTGGGGGCACAGGCAGAGACCTATGCTGCCTCTCACAGGGAATAGCTGAGGGCCAGCAGGGCCCCAGGAGGGAAGGGTGCGGCACAGTGGGCTGGTAAGGCACCGCCGTCCACACGCCCCGTAGAAGCTGCATGTTGAGGTGACGTAAGAAGTCTGCCACAGCAAACGTGCCGGCATCATGGTGGGCCGTTACTGGTACAAAGCACTGGGTGTTGTGCACAGTCCTGGGTACTGTGCCTTGGTCATCCTGGCTACACAACTGTAACTGCAGGAGGGCACCGTGCTGGGACCACAGGGCGACCAGCCACAGTGCCACAGGAGATGGGGTTTTTAGCTCACTGTCGTCTGTGCAGCCACCCTCAGGCTTGGCTACCTGGCCTCCTGGCTGCACCTGGACCATGAGCCTCAGACTCAGATTTCTGTGGTCTGCCCCCTCCCCTCAGATTTCTGGGGCTCCTCGTGTCCTTCCCGCTTCCTTTCCTCTGAGTTGCTCCAGAGAAGTCATTCCAGGGCACCGCCACCTCACTCAGCAGCATGCGTCTTGGACCTGGAGGCCTGCCAGGAAGGGACAGTGCCGGGCTGTTCAGGTCACTTCCTCTGAGGTGGGGTCATAGGGCTATCTGGGGAAGGTGGCCACAGAGGCAGAGGTGTGCATGTGGCTTGGGAGTGAGGATCTGAGGCAGAGGTGTCTGGGTGACAGCCGCGGAGCCTAGCAGCCATGTAAGGCTCTGACCACACGCCTCAGAATGGTTTGCATCTTGTGGAGCTGTGTGCTGTGAACTGCGCCCCAGCTTTGAGAAGCAAGGTGGCTGGAGGCAGAGAGAGTGAGGACCTGTGGTCAGCGCTGGCCTGGTCTGGGTCCTGCAGCTTGGGCTGGCCCTGCCCCTCCTTGCGGGGCCTGGGCCTCTCCGCAGGGCAGGCGGGTCGCAGTGCGTGAGGCTTCTTCCCATTGTGCTTCTTCATGTGGCGCTTTCTCCTGGCGCCATGTCGTCCATCCTAGCTCTGGTTGGGCAGGAGTCCTCCAGGCGCCTGGCCTGCCTGTGACCCCCTCCTGAGCTCCTGTGTGGCTGAGCAGGACACCCCAGCCAGACCTGAGGGCCCCGCAGTGCAGCACAGTCCTCAGCACCAAGCCTGGAGTGCCGAGCTCTGGGGCCAGCATGAGCATCCAGAGGCCTCGCGCGATAGGCAGGGCCCGAGTTGCTCAGTTCATACTGTGAAAATAAAGCACTGTCTCTACTGTTACCCAAAATGCATTTCCTCTGAGGCCTCCTGATAAGTGAGCGTGTCACCATGGAAATAGCTATTTTAGGAGAAAGAAAATCAGAGAGAATTGGATCTTTAGAGCAGCCCTGTAAAATCAGACGGGGCTTAATGTAACCCTAAACACCGCAGCTCCAGGAGTGGGGTCCAGGCTCTGCGCCCCAGGAGGCGGCTCCTTAGGGTGCGGCCCTGGGAGGCTTCACACTCCCAGAGAGGGAGTGGCCACCAGAGTGGCCCAAGCTGGGCCAGGGTCAGGGAGTCTTTGCCTCGGTGGCAATCTCGACCCAGCTGTCCTGTCTTCATAACCACGACCTTGGCGCCAAGGCCCCATGTGGCTGGCAGGTCCTGGGGAGCTGGGCGTTCAGGTCAACCCAGAAATTGTCAGCACCAATGAACCGACTGCAGAGTTGGTCTTGTACATGTTTAGTGAACAGAAACTACTATTTTAAATATGTGCATTACTGTATACCACTGGGCTTTTTCCATTATGAAACAAGCACCAGTGAGCATGGGCAGGCTCTTCTTAACTCTCATGTTCATTTTATTTCTACCTAAGTTGATTTTCAGGTTTGATTTCTAGATCTAAACACTGGGAACCACCCACCAGGCAGCGTAATGACTCAGCAATAACACTTGATCTTAGCCAAAAGGCCGAGAAGCGATGACTCAGCAATAACAGAGGGTAGGGTGCTTCGGGCCAGCCATCATCCCAGCGGAAGCCGCTTGCCCTGGCTCTGGCTTCTGCACACATCTGGGAGCCTCAGCCTGAGGAGGCTTCCCTCGGACACGCTTCTGGAAACAGTGCTTTTGGTTTCTCTGACTGTGGCTTCCTGGGGTAGAGCGCTCAGTGGCCCACGGGTCCAGATTTAATCCTCAGCCTGGGTGGGTCTGGTCCTCACTGTCCTACACCGTCTCTTGCTAGGTCCACTGCAGGCTGAAAACCTTAGGACCTCTTAACTACAATGTTGAATAAAACAAAAGCAAAGAAGCCACACTGCCAGAGCCCTTTCTCGTAGCCCTCGGCCTGGCGCCGTACCAGCACTGTAGAGGCGCCCGAGGCTGCTGAGCCAGGCTGGCAGTGGGGACCCAGGTGCCACCTCCACCACTTACAGATGCGTCACAGGCTCAACAGCTCCAGGGCCCAGGGTCCCCAAGGTGGGGTCCAAGCCCAGCACCAGTCTAAACTGCGTCCCCAGAGACCTTCCCACAGTCAACAGCAAATGACAAGGCCCAGTGGCATCTGCATAGAGCAATGCATCCAACCAAGACGATGTCTTGTCAGAGGAAAATGACGTTAGGGGCTCTTGCTACAGACCTTTCTTATTTATAAGTAAACCAGGGGATCTCTGCAGCCACTTCCATAGAAACAGAGTTGAAATTCAGCGGCCAGAGAAGACAGGAGCTCTGCGTAGGTCACGTGACCATTCATGCCTGCTGGCCCCAGGGCTGTTCCGACAGCCTGGCATGTGTGCAGGAGGCTGCAGCAGAGGCAAAAATGATATTTATTTTAAAAGTTTTCCTTGTGATCACATGAAACATGTTACATTAAATTATGCAGAAATGTGAAGAGGAACTTACCAGAAATGTCGTCCCATGCTGAATTCCGAGGTCTCCCCATCCCTAGCATCCTGGGTCTCAGTGAGAGGCAGATCAATGCTGGCTCCGCAGCCCTGGTGCCGCCGTGTTCCCATGAGGACAGCGTGCTGGGGGGGGAGGGCTGGGCCGCTGAGAGGCTCTGGGCAGTGCAGGGGCCTGCTTGCATGTGACTCCCTGGTGTGTGCAGCATGGAGGTGGGGGGTACCTTCCTTCCAGACAGCAGTATATTTGGTGGAAGTTGAAAACTATGCATAATCCCTGGGCCTGCTGTGCGCGCTGAGACGGCGATTGAGACTGGGCATGGTGGTGTGTGCCTGTAATCCCAGCACCTGGGAGGCTGTAAACGAGAATCACTACGAGTCTGATCTAGTAGTAAGACCCTGAACATCCTGTAGACCCTTCCTTAAAATACAAAAAGAAGGAAAGAAAGAA